CATTAATTCCCTCCTTATCCTTCCCGTCATGTTCATTAATTCGAACTCCCTGTGGCTAAATCATAGGAGGTGATGAATTCCCACTCAGGTACACCAGGAGGCAATTTAGTGGAATATTTCCAGTCCTTATCACTGGAGTTAGCCGGGGCGTGTCAGTGGCAGAGGGTTTTGGCGTGGGGCTAGGGCGATTTCCATCAACTTTGCGGCTTCGGTGGCCCACTGAGTGGTGGGAAAAGGATTGGCGACGCACCAAAACCCACGCGCCACTGACATGCCCCATCTGCCATCAGTGATCTAGTCTGTGTAGTGGGATGGCACTATCAGACCCATCTCCTGGCCAGTGTGGTTCATAGTGATTCAAGGAATCGCAAGAAAAGCCCCCCTTTCTCATATTCCTGACATTTTCGCAGAAGAAAAAAAAACTAAAAACCTTCGTCAACAAACTATGATTGCTCGGCTATGACCCAGAAATTTTGAGAAATTTTGAAAGAATGGACTCTGAAGCGAAACTCACCTGTAATTGAAGCTTGCGAATAACCATCCCGCCGACCATTACGCCAGCAGCCGCAGCGAAGATGACGACAGCTGAAAAAGAGCTCCAAAACTTCCAGATATGGTGTGTGTGCAGTCTCGTTCGCTGTGCATGAAGGGGCGTGTCAGTAGGGCTGGGTTTGACGCCGCCAAGCCCGTCCTTTACCGGTTGTTGAAGCGGGTGAACGATATCAATTGGTGGAAAACGGCTGACACGAACGAATGGCACAGTCATTCCGCTTTCCAAAACAAAATAAAGAAAACGGGCGAGCGCTGCGCCAAACATATCCCCCTGACACGCCCATCTTCCGCAGCGACCGGCGCATATGAGTGGAGCGGGGGCTATATGGTACTACAAAGGGAGCAGATTCCCACATCCTTTCCCTATTGTAAAGTCATGATCCCTGCAAACGATAGGGCGTGCGAGCACGAATTGTTGGAAAATACCGCGACTGAGCTCCAATCCACTTCAGTCGCTTCCTTATCTTCAGGGATAACGACTGTACTTCTCCACTTATCGACATCACTATATAAAGCCCCTTTTTACTCGGGAAAGAGTTTTGCGG